GTCGATGTTTGATGCACTGTCACTCGCCCTTGCAGACGGACCCACCAGAGCCTAGGTCGAGCGGATGCGAGATATGTCCGTGACTTCCTTACAGAGACATGGTCACGGTTATCTCGTCCACCAGCGGGACAGTCAAGATAGTGGATCCTCCTTCCATGCACAGTTCGACCCTGGCCAGAGTAGCGGTGGAGGTGATCATACGACACCAACAGACGCAGAGGAGTACATCATCCACACTACTGCGCCCATCGGGACTCAGGAGGACACATCGTCCAGCCAGCTCACCCCCCCACAGCCCCGAGACCCATTCACCACCATTTCTCATTACACTCGGCGTCATAGACGGACGGACGACAGTCAGGCTAGGGAACCATTATCCCGAATTGATGATTAGGGATAGTATCGTATGATTTATTTGTTGTAGACAAACATTTTCTAGAATTCTGTATATAACGATTACATTATTAATATAATACATGTTTGTTGAATGAATCTGTGCGTGGTTTGATGTTTAGTTTCCTTATTTATCCAAACCGGACTTATGTCAGTCAAAATAGATCCTTCTAGGCCGATTTGTATCAAAAAACAAACATTTGGGATCCATAATCAGAAACGGAGTAGAAGCGATGGCCATGGTGGCTAATGTGGTGCTTCATGGTGGTTTAGTGCTGTTGGTTGTGGTGGGTGGTGGTCGACGGTGGTGGAAAGGTTGGGGCTGGTGGTGGAGGTGGTTGAAGTGTTGTTGGGGGTAGTTGGACTGTTTTGAAGTGCATAAGGGTGGTCGAAAGTGGCGGAAGGTGGTGGTCGATGGTAGGGGTTGGTGGTGGGGGTGGTGGTTGACTGTGGTGGCTAAATCAAGGCAGGGGGTGGTGTGTTGGGGCAAAAATTAGAGTACAAAGGCTGCAAGCTGCTGGTGTCAGCGTTTTATGTACAAAAAAACTTTGTATATAAAACGTTGTCTCAGACAGCGCTTTATGTTGTACATAAGACGTTGTCTTGGACAGCGTTTTATGTGTTTACCTTTTTTTTTCCTTTTAATTTTAAAATATCTGAAATTACAAAAAAAATTTACAAAAAAGTCAACAACTAAAAACGTTCCTTTTAATTTTAAAATATCTGAAATTACAAAAAAAATTTACAAAAAAGTCAACAACTAAAAACGCTGTCCCATACAGTGTTTTAGCCTGGAAGCTTAGTTTGGTAAATACTTTTGCCACGCAACTATTTTGGTAAATATTTACCAAAAATGGCTAGGTTCATGGGTATTTTCGGAGAAGTGGCTAATAGAAGATTTTCCACGGGAGGAACTTGTTCTCTATTTATAGAGCCTCCCATGTGTAGTAGTGTTGAGATATTTTGGGTGATTGTTGCATAATGCTTCCGTGATTCTCTCAACTGCTTCCTTGGGTGGTGGAGTAGTGGTTGATTCCTTTGCTTGGTCTTCTAACGAATGTGGACTTGTGTAGGGTGTAGATATGTTTAACAACTTTCATGACTTGTTCTTTGTGACATATATATTCTCTCCATTATTTTAGGGAGCATTCGTAACCATTTTGACCCGATCTTGTGTCGTTGGTCGTTGACTATCATCGTTAGTCAACCAATGTACAAAATTACCCTTAACAATAATTATATGTTCGAATACATTGAAGATTCAATTTAAAATGTCACCAATATTTTTGTTTCGAATTATTCTATTCAAAATGGCTGATAAATAAACTTAGCTAGTTGTAATAACAAAAATCAGTTGTTATATGTGCTAGAGTATGAGTATGGGGTTGGACCACAAAGAATCATCCTCTGATCTGCCTTAGCCATGATTCTAACATCTAACCATCCTTGACAATTGATATAAATACTGCACTTTTTAAGATGATTAGAGACTTTAGAGTTGTAATCACCCCAGATTATGATGTTAATTTCACCCAAACCTTTTTGTTTCTTTGCCACTAAATCTTTAGCAGACCTTTCAAAAAAAGAAAAAATCTTTAGCAGTCACATTGCCGAGTTGCATTACTACCTTAACATTAGTACTCCGTCTCTGTAGTGACAATGTATGATAAGAATGTTTATCAATCTTTGTAGATGGAACAAGCGATTTGTCATTGTAGTCAAGAGAGAATTTATTGACGTACAATGATTTTGTTGGCACTTTTGAGGAGTCCATAAACAAGGTTAAGTTTAAATCAACAGTTGTAAAATTATTACTAGTAGTAGAGATTACCATGGACGTAAACCCAAGTATATGAGACTTATCGACTTCATACTTGTTGCCGAATGCATCAAGGTCCTTGCACCCATGGTTCTTATTAAAGACTTCATCAATTCTATTAGACGTCTTGATTCCAACAATGATACACACGACTAAGATGATAACAAAACACCCACAAAACACTAAACATTTCGGCTTGTTTTTTTGCATGTTTACTTAGCTTGCAATTGCTCTCCACTTTTTCTTTTGGTTTTATACTCTTGTTTGTTTATTGTTGTTATATTTTTACTGTATAATCTAGAAAGAAATCAATCAAAAGAGTTACAATAAGTCGTGCCAAATTGAAAATTTTCCAGTTTCTCTTCAATCTTTTTTTAAATGGGGAAATTTTCCAAAAGCCAAATTCGTAACACACAATCAAGTTAAAGTAAAGTAAAGTTGGATTTTGGGAAGCATGCATTTCTATTATGAAAAAATATCCTGCAAATATTCTTCAAATAATAATAATTCAAGGGAAGAAATACATAATTTAAAAAAAAGATTTTGTAAAAAGTTTTATTTTCCTAATTCATATATTTGTTTCATTATCACTACAACAAAGATTCTTCAAAAAAAAAAAAAAAACATCACTACAACAAAGAAATTTAATTCCTTTTTTTTCCATTTAATCGATTAATTGTCTATCAATAATAACTTAATACTAAAATAGACACCGGGAATGACACATGTCACTTCCTGTTTTTTCCCTCCAAAATCCCTCCTTTTACTTTTTGTTTTTGTTTTTTTTTTTTTAAAAAAAAAAAAAAAACTTTTTTTATGCCACCTACTATATATAATGTATACACATAATATCACCAAATATAATTGTGGTAATTTTGATTCACACACTTTTCATATCTATACTAAAATATTTTCCAAATCTATTATTTTAGATCTTATAAATATTACTCTGTATGTAAAATTTTGTTTTTAAATAGCACAATCAATCAACAGTAATCAATAACCTTAATACTAAAACAGACACCGAGAATGACACATGTCACTTCCTAGTGTTGTACACACCAAAAATAACACGTATCATTTTCTAGAGTGTCCCTTAGGTTTTTTTTTTAAGCAAAAATCTATTTAGGAAACAAATCTTACACATAATAAAAGAATAAAAAAGATATAATGTATCCTTCCACAATATATATTGATACCATACACTTATGTTAATATATATATATATATATATATATATATATATATATATATATATATATATATATATATTCTAACATGATCTGTAACATAAATAGTATTATGTACTACTCTACCATTATAACAAGGATTTTTTTAAAAAAGATTTTTGTATTTAATTATGTATGAAAAGTTTGCTAGGAAAGATATGAAAAACTATTTAAGTCAATTGATTATTGAAAAAAATATTGCATAAGAGAGAATGAATAATAGTGTATAAAAAGAAATCTTTTTGCATACAAATACATATAGTTAAGATATTCATTTGGCTAACAAGAAGAAAATGATACGGAGTATAAGTTTGTTAGTGAAATATACTGTATATAAATTTACATATATGCGTATTTTAAAATATCTATTTTGCTAATAATAGACTCTTTTCACAATAAATTCATTTTACGAAGTAGTAACTTAGACAGATTCATTTTTTTATAATTAAATGTAGTATTAATTATGTACGGAGTAATAGTAATTGAAAATTACCGTGTATGACACGGGACCTAACCTACTATATATTAGTACTAGGACTAAAACACAATTAACAAACAAGATCAAAAGGTTGTTATAGTCGGTAAAAGCGCATTTTCTTGTCTAAGCTACAATGTGTATGCCTACGAGTTCAGGTGTTAAAGACGCAATATGTTGGAGCTATAAGCGTTGTTGTTGCCTTTGTGCTGTCTCTTTACTCGTCATAAGCGTCGTGTGTGTCGTGACGGTTATTAAACTTGATAAATGTAATAAGCATGAGGATGAAATTGATCAACAACACTTGAAGAAGGTTGAGGTTACGGTCAAGTATTTTGATCTGATCACATTATCTATGGGAATTTCGAGTCGTAACAACTTTACAAGAGCCAATGCAAACATAACCCTCTCAATGTACACCTTTATAGAATCCACAAAACCCTTGACCATCGACGGATTATCACTCAAATATCGCGGTAAATTAGTTACTTCATCTACAAAAGTTTAACAACATAGTGTAAAGGAATTAGGGAGCAAGAGTAGTAGTACTAATAAGGTAGTTATGGATTTGAGAGATGTGACCATTAATAACGTGATTGCCAATGATTTATTGGCAACAATGGCGAGCATACAAGAAGGTAATTTGGATGATTTTAGTATCCAATTTTGGGGTTATTACCATGCTCGTAATATTGTTGGTTCTTCAAATACCGTCAATTGTCCAGGAAGGTTAGCTCTTCAAATCTTGGCCGAGGCCGAGTGGATGATTAGTGGTACAACTCCATGTTCATACCACACATGTTATCACTAAGCTCTGCATTAGAAATTCCCCTCTTGATACGGGTCTCCTAAGCTTCCCTAATAATCTACTTCGTAGTTGAATTAATACTAGTTGAATTGTACTTGAATATAATCATCAATAAACCTTAGGAGCAATTTTTTTATTATTATTATTTCTTTTTTTGGCATGATAATACATGCCTAAGTAGTAAGTATGAGGTTATTTTGTGAGACCTTAATTAAAAAGTTAAAAGTAAATTTTAAATATAACATTATGATGGATATAGAACTTATGAAGAACCAATTCATTCATGCCCAACACATAATTATGTCGTCAGGAAATTCCATAGCATTTGCATTTGATAGAAGAAAAAGACTACACAGTGGTACACAATAATCGTCCCAGTAATTAAACCAAAAAAACAAAAAAAAAAGAAAAGCTTGTATACCCTCTTAGTTCTCAGGTAGTCTTTACTTCTGTATTACATTACATACTACTACTACAGTCTACAAGCATGGTGATGCAACTAACGCCTTTTGTATACAGGGTTTTCCAATTTGTATACCCCAGAACCTTCGATTATAAACTAGGAAAAAATATAATAATTATTATCCTCGGACCAAAAAATTAGAAAAACCGGAAGAAAAAGCAAAACTGAATTTCACAGAGCAATGAATCAATCACAAAAAAAAAAAAAAAAAAAAAAAAAAAAAAAAAAAAAAAACAAACTAGCAACATTTTGTACTTAGAAACATCAAGCATCATCCTCTTTTTGACCAGGTGATCCTGCAAGCCAACCCCATACACCACCAGAACCCTGCCTCTGCTTTGCACTTAGGGCTGCTTGTTCAGAAGCCGCCTTCTGTCTGCGCAGGAGCTCTAATTCTTTTTCCAATTGCTCCATTGTTTGTAGCTTCTGCCGTAACTCAGCAACGTCAACCTGCCAATCCAAGTTACAATCAGCAATATGTCAAGGAAGTCCAGGGAAAGCATATCAAGGACATCAGATAAGGCTCACGATATCAAATACACTTATACACCCTTTTATTGTCTCACATATTTCATGATCTCAGGGTGCAAAACCTGATTTTTATGATTGGGAAACTGGCAAAACACCAAGAAGCAACTACTTAAAACTAATCACCATTATCCCTATTTTAAAGTAGCAGTAATTATCCGTCAAAAAAAAAAAAAAAAAAAAAAAGTAGCAGTAATTAACTACCAATTTTTCTTTAATTTGTTTTAACTAATGCATAAAAAATAAGGGAAGATCAGCTATTTAAATCCATAAGAGAAAGGGAACAAAATCAAATATATGAAGTGTTTCTTTTCCAGGTTTCTTAGCTACCCCCATCCCATCTATCAAACTTTTTTTTTTTTTTTTTTTTTGACGGAAATCTATCAAACATAGTTTAACAAATCTATATTCAAGAGCTGTAAATAAATGCTATAAAGAACATAAAACTGCACAAAAATTAATAAAAGCAACATAATACTTATATTATTTGGACTTTGGACCAATAGAGTTATCAAACTTTGGGGGAAAAGTACGATAAAACCAAACAAAAAAGTCTGGCATTACGTACCTCAAGCTTAAAACATCTAGACTGCTCAGCAGCAAGCTGACCACGTACAGATTGGAGCTCCTGCAATTCAAGATTTAAAAATTATATAATGAAACCAAAAACATAGAAAGAACCCTCTTCTGAAGTAGCAAACACTACTCTCGGACTTAAAATGGCCCATTGACCCAGCTAAAAAAAAAAGGTATTCCATGACATGAACATACAATCTTATACCAAGAACCAAATACAAAGGATTTTTTACATCAAAGAGTGGAGTATATAATAAAAGCAAGTGTTCTTTTCGTTTGGACAAGAAGATAGTTAAAGATCTCTAAGGTTTTTCAGTCTCCTTTTCTTTCATAATAAAAGCAAGTGTTCTTTACCCTTATCCTCTCCCATGCACCCACTTGTTTTTATCAGTCTCCTTCCTGTACATGCGTTCAAACAGGCACTGTACACAACATAAATGGACGGAGGGAGTATAAAGTATATAGGAGTCAATTGAAATTTATAATTTGCACAAGTGCAGGGTTTGAGATAGATTAGTGGTTGGCTAGTGTTTCCTATCTACAGTTTCTGTTTCCATCAGTTTCAACTTCTTGTATTGGGAGGTACCAGTTGTTACTTGAAATTTGGCTTTTCCTTACGAAACTACAAGTCGAGTGTGAAAAACTAAAAAAAAAAAGCATGGTAGAAACTTGAGAAGGGTAAAGTGTACATATTAATAACAAAGAATGGGAGAAACAGGAGTAGCCAACTCAAGAGAACAAAGGGGGAGTATAATTTCAAAACACTTACCCTTTTTTATTTTGGGGAAGGGAGGGGGGAATACCCATCTCAACCAAAACATCTGGGATCAACATTACACTAACTTACCAGCTCTCCAGAAACAGCAACAATTTATTACACTTCAGGTTTTCAAACTTAATTGCAATCCCAAATATTTTTATAATCACTATTCATTTGTATAAATTGACATTAAATAAAAATATCAGCTTCACTTTTCCATTACGCTAATCTCTGTCAAAGAGTAACAACAACCTACACAATCTTCCTATAAAAAAGAGAGGATATAAATGAGCAACACAAGACATATATAGGTAAATATAAAATGGAGAGACAATGACCTTTACAAGGTCACCATTTCGATTTTCAGCTTCTGTCAACTCTTGCTTCAACTGTTGACTCAGCAACTTTTCCTTACTTATTTCAGATTCCAGCTCTTCCTTTTCTTTCGTAATCACTGCTATAGAACGGTCTCCACCATTCTTGTTTTTAGTTTTCTGCAAAAAAGGTGGAAGCAGCAAAGAGCATATTACAGGTAATTAAACAGAATAACTTTGCAAATAAAACTATGGAAAAAGTACAAAATTCAGCCAAGTAGTCACAAAGAGTTGTTCATATAATCACTTTTTTTGAGTCTATTCATCCCCCATCAGAATAATCCCAGGAAATTGCTAACACATTGAAGTTGCTATAATACCTCTCCATCAATATTGTCCACAACAATTTCCCTAACTTTCCCGTCCTGCCCTGCATCAAGTTCAGATTCCAAATCTCTAGTGGCATTTGTGGCATTTGTTGCATTATGCACAGCAGAGACACTGCCAGGTACAGATGTATCTATCATTTTCGATTGCAACATAGATTTGTGGCTAGGTTTGAGAACATGAACCTGCCAGAAGCACATGACAAATATCAAGATAGATGTACAAAGAAAATACATATTCATTCTAAGTCAAAAACAAACACTTCAACAGGTGAAGATCATACTGACCTCATTGCTGTAGCGGCCATTATAACCTCCAAAAGCAACCAGAACATCCTCCCCATTGTATGAGCCCACAACCAAGCTTACACCCTGAAATAGAAGAAAAGGTATGACACATTGTCCAAGTCAAAGAAGCACGTGAATAAGAGCTATTTTTATTGAGACAGGATATAGTAGGTTCTTATGTAAATCATGAAAACAGAGTAGTACAGTGTAATTTGAGACATGTTTCAATCATATAGTAAGCAGCTTACCTCACTAGCAAGGGAAACACGTCCTTCAACTGAAGTAACAACGGACCAAACAAGCGTAGACATATTGAGAACAACAGTCTCAGAGGCACCTGTCAAATATAGCACAAAAATGCTTAAAAGTGCTACAAAAGATGTCAAATAGTCGTTCTTAACTTCTCAAGTTGAATAAAAAAAAGACAGACCAAGGAAGAAAGAAAAGCAAGCCAAGTACAATTACTGTTTTTAAAAAGAATCTTCTGAAAGAGCTACAGATTTTATACAGACAAAGGCCTTTTTACCATAGACAAATAAGATTACATGCACTAACACGACAGACCAAGGAAGGAAAGCAAGCCAAATAAATTACTGTTTTTAAAAAGGATTTTCTGAAAGAGATATTTTATTCAGATAAAAGCCTTTTTACCATACACAAACAAGATTACATGCACTAACACCCAAAATTTCTTCCATGGACGTGCACACGCGCACACAGACATTCTAGATTAATGTTGTTATTTTTCAGGAACCCCAGGAGATCATACTTTTCGTTTATATAATTAAACTTTGGAAATAGTAATAAGTTCATCCAAGCAGCATCAGACATACAAAAGAAAGAGTGCACCCTTAAAATTCAGAAACATATGTTGACAAATACATACCACTTTTATTATCACCTCCTCCAACAATAAACCAATTCTCTCCAATAGTCACACCTGCATGTCCAGCACGTGGAGTAGGTATATCACCTTGCTGAGTGGGTCTCGACCATTCCATCTACAAGATCAAAGAGGATATATAGATGGAGCAAAGCAAAATCAGAAAACAGGGAAATCAGAGAAGTGAAGGCTTACAGCTTGCAAATCAAGAACATGCAAATCATTGAAGCAAGCAGCATGAGAGCCACCACCAAATATAAGGAGGTAACGTTCTGCATGTACTGCAGCAGCATGATCAGACCTTGGAGATGGAGGCACACCCCTATAATAATTTAACAATGTGTTAGGCTAGTAAAACTGCGAACATTTTCTAGATTATTATCTAACATGTTACAGAGCTGTGTGTACATACAATAAAGATGGAGCATCCAGTACAATGAGAGATAAGAAACTTTATTATGCCTTTAAAATACAGAGACAGTCCAAATTTTATCAATATTTAACATATCCATGTCATCCATGGCTTTGACATTTTGCACATCTTATTAATTTGACAAATAATGATAATAAGTTTGTTTTAATTAAACAAGCAAAACCACTTACACTGCATCAAAATCATCCCATGTCATGGTTTCCAAGTCAAGAAGGTGAAGATCATTTAAGAGAGTTCTGTTTGCATTTTGACCACCAAAAATAACTAAGGTGTTGCCCACAAGGGTAACAGAATGGCCCCCACGAGATACCTGCAACAAATACATGGTCCCAGAATTAAACAAACTGCACATATATCATTAAAAAAATCAAGCACTAATATATAGTCACCATAATTTTAAGAAGACACATCCACAACTATTGCTTTTTAATGACTTCAAAATCTTCTATCCTGAACATCCAATATGCAATTTGAAAGAAAAGTAAAGTACCAAATCACTTGGGACGAAAAAAAGAAGAAAGATGCATAAGGAAACTCATTAAAATATTGGATATTGGCTAAAATAATATGTTAAATTTTGATTCTAGTTATAGCAGACTAGGGTTGTTCAGAGTGCGGTCTAGACCGCACCAAACTACAAACCAAACCGCAATTTTGCTGTTTTGTGCGGTTTGCGTTTTGAAAATTGCGGTGCGGTTTTTGAAAATGCCAAACCGCAGTTTGCGGTTTGGTGCGGTTTCCAAAAAAATTAGACCAAACCGCACTTTGATGCGGTTTGCGGTTTTTATACTATATTTTTATTAAAAAAATATGGGCTAATTAAAGGTTAAAAAAAAGAGTTTAATATTTGAATTATAAATTAATAATCACAAAATAAAATAAGTTTTTTTTACAAAAAAATAATTATAATTTTAAATAAATATGGTTAAGCCGCAAACCGCACCGCACCAAACCACATTTTACAGTGCGGTTTGGTTAGAAGAGCGGTTTGAAAAAATTACAAACCACACCAAACCGCACCGCGAACACCCCTAATTGACCCTGTTTAATATGGTCCATGTCCATTATAGTCCTATCCATTAAAATCCCTCTTTACCTGGTCCCAACCACTTTGACCCTTTACAACTCAACACTCTTATGACCTGACCCGCTCCTGTCCCTCCTAGACCCAGACCACCAAATAACCAGGTCTAGATTGAAATGCACTCACAAGAAAAAAGGGACTTGAAAGGTTCCCAATGTTAAGAGTTAAGACTATGAACATGAAATAAAATTCTGTAATCAAACCCCTAAGTATGATGTCATCAGTCCAAATTCGATCAGCAAGATATCTCACTGCCATAAGACTCGTAACAAATAAAATTACAGAGTTATTTTGATTACCGGTGACTTTCCGTACGTCTTCAGGATTGACCAAGTAGATGCTTGCGGATCAAAAACTCTCACTGTCAAGAAAATAAAATATAAAAATTAAAAAAATGCATTATCCAATATATGTAAAGCATCAAAGTTTTAAGACTTGATAATTTCATCAGAGATTCTAGTCAAGATTTAGAAAAGCCAATATTTAGTTGATTGCTCTTATAACACATATCAGGCACACATCAACACCTTTACTATTAAGTTACAGGCAGTAGATTAAAAGGTCTGTCTACTTTGACAAAATAAGCCAAGATAGAGAATTACGGAAATTAGCTACTTCCATGTACGTGTTAAAAGCTTAAAACTTTTGTCTTAATATTACAAGAAAACCAATGTGCCAAAAATATTTAATTTTCCTCAATATTAACAAAAAAGTTAGTCAAAGGAAAATAATTAAATATGTCAGCAGACAAGGGGTTGGCCAGTGGAAATGAGTGTAAAAAAAGTGAGTGCCAACACCACTGATTCTCAATAAAGAATGAACCTGAAGTCAAGCTAAGACGAGCCCCCATTGGCCCATCCCAAAGAAAAGCTTCGTCAGTCCTACTACAACAGATACAACCATTCCACTCAAGTCACAAAACCTACACAGTGGTATTACTGGTATATACATGCACCTGCAGAGTATATTCTGCTCCTCATCTCCAATATCAACTCCAATCTCAAAATTTAAACATCAGAGCATGGTTTAAAATCTTGGCCACATTGCTGCATCGTGACCGCATTTTAAAGGTTTTTAGCATTCCGTTACTGAGATATTAGGCCGCAACAACTACAAATCATCTACATTGCACGCAGTAGTGATTTCATGACCGTTACCACGATCACGACCACATCTGAGATTTAACCGCATACATAAGAGCGTATAGACAAGTGCATATCTTCCTCCTCCTGCCAGTGAAAATTCCCAAAATACAACACCCTTATATTGCAAGAGCAAGGGCCCTGCTAAGGCTACAGTAGCACTTAGGAAGGTTTCGATGGAGATTTAAAAAGAATGCTTCATACATTCTACAAAACCACAGTTTTCTATAATCCTCACCGGCTTAGGGAATAGGGAGATAAGACATCCAGACAAAATTCAAGAGGAAAAAGGGTTCAAATGTGTTCTGGATGGTTGTTTCACTGTCTTATCATGCAAGTCTTTTGATAGTCACCAGATAAATCACCATATCTAAATCCTTCCCTACCTATAAGCAGGCACACCAAAGTTCCCCAAAGAAAAAGTATTACTTTGACAGCAGAAGGGGGGGGGGGGGGGGGAGGTGTAACAGAAAACCAGTTTGGAGCCCAAACCTAAAGAAATGGTGGAAAATATCTATTTTCAAATCATCATGTCGCATTCTATTCATCACACCAAGGTACATGGAGAAGAAGAGAATACTTAGGCCACGATGCTGAAGCATTTTCTAATTACAATATTTTGGAAAAGAACAGGGCAAGACTGTATGGAAGAATGCTTCCATTGTAATTTTTGTAGGCGCGGTGATTAGAAAGGAATGATACATAGAATATGGGATAAGTTTCTTTTCAAGCCTCACATTTGAATATATGCTTCTCAGCTTTTCTTTGATGGTTTCACAACCATTCCTGAAATTCATCTTCCCTCTACCCTACACCAAAAATATCCAAAGCACTTTACAAACAAGAATTATAGTATAGATGTTCTCTATCTAGCAGTAATATTTCAACAGAAAATAAAGGTGGTCTCCAAAACCCTTCCTCTAAAGTTTAAACTAAACAGTGCTTGACCATATATGATTATACGCACAGCTCATTAGCCTTTAGGGAAAGGAGGGGGAGGTCCAGTGTTACCTAACTCCACCCCCCTGTGTACCACATGTTGACAAAAGCGAATTATAGCACAATCAATCAACGCCTTAATCCCATAAGTGGGGTCGGGTACATGAACCAAAAGTGATTATTCCGTGTAGTCATCGACAAAAATCTTCCTCCTCCATCCCTTACAATCCAATGCCTCATCTTCATGCAAATCCATACTTCATATCCTTCCTAACTCCTTCCAACCAAGTCATTTTCGGTCTCCCTCTCCCTTGTTTAACCCCTCCATGGTCCCACTCTTCCACTCTTCGTACCGGTGCACCCTCGGGTCTCCGCCTTACATAAATGGTATTTTTGGCCTTAGGTAGAGAATTGCATATCGTATTGAATCTAATCTCACATAACAAGTAATTCTGGGAGGGACCCTCTTTCTATTCCAAACTTTGAATATCATGATTTTAAACACTACAAAAAGCCAATCCACAAAGACAGTTTTTCAAAAGATTGCAATTGAACATGCAAAGCAGTAGAAAATTATGGGTAAAGTTCTAAATCCATAAACATTTCAACATGATTTGAACCTTGGATTGTCTCAAAAGGATCCTTTGTATGCCCAGCAACTGAGAGAAGCTTGTTTTCCCATGTTATCTGCAAGAACCAACAGCTGACATCAATTTTCTTCTGCACTAAATATTCAGCATGGCATATTGACATCATATTGTGGACACAGCTCCAATACTGACCAACGTATGACCCGCACAAGGGATAGATGGGATACAAGACTCCACTTCTGTAGTTTCAGCTCCTTTCTTGACCTCCACTCGGGACCAGGTCCAAGCTCTCATATCTAAAACCTATAAAATATTGATTATGTTAACAAAACACACATGGGAAGTGGGCCGAACAAATGAAGGATTTGAACCTTATAGTACCCAGTAATGAGAGAAGAGAAAGAGGAGATCCAATAATTTGGAGGATGCTCCAAGACACACCAATGCAGATATGTGAATAAAATTACCTGAAGATCACTAAGATACCGGCCATTGTAATTTCCGCCATAGACATACATCTTCTCCCCTATAACAGCTGATCCATGCTGCAAATTTAGAATCCAATCTTTACAACAAGTTTGAACAGGAGAAATAGAAGGAACGCCTACCCTTATAAATCTAACCATCTGTATAGAAGGAAGAGTGCACAATATAACACATGTAAAATAGACCACTAGCATAAGCCAATACCTCATATCGGGGTTTAGGTTGTTGGCCAGAAACGGGAGGCGCAACCCATTGATCGTAGACACTAATTGATCCAAGACCTTCAGATACAACATCCTTATCCTCAGATTCTACTACTTTTCCATTTTCAGTGGAAACTGTCTTTGTCTCCGGATAAGCATTGCCATTCTCAACGATTTCCTCACTCTTCGAGTCATGCTAAGCCAAGGGGAAACAGAAATAATTAGAAGGGTTCAGAAGAATAATTTTACCAGCAATAAAATATCATATTGCAGATGGAGCCTTAATACTGAACAAAAGTGCCACCACTTTAGTTGTTTCAGGATTCTTTCTACAGCTCTCAAAATGTTCACACCAAGTAATCCTTTGAGGGTATAAAAATAGATACAGGGCAATCACACAGAGGGTCATAAAATTTTCATAATATACAAGGGAAAACCATAATAAATTCATAGCACCAAAAACTAAAGATAATGCAAGGCACTGAAAACTGAAAAGGCGGCTATAATCTGAATTCTGAAGAAGAGATTTTGTTTCTTGCTTTCAATGTAAGGTTTATGAAAGCAGTCGTTGATTAGGATGTTTAATTGATGGTTAGATACATGATAACATGTAGGCAAATACTTAAGTAGGTATTAATATAAGGTTTCATAATATCAACTTTCCAATGTTTTTAACCAGCATTTAATTATATATATTAAGGTCAAACTAATGCATTTGTATGTGTGCTAAGTTTGATTGTGTCAATTATTCTAGATAGAGGTAGTACTAATTGTCAAATTTTACAAACTTTGAACTTTGTTCATCAAACAGAAACTCGAATTTTGATGGAGAGAGGACAAGGAATGCTAACTATTCATTCAAGGCATATGACAATCTAAAAATATACAAGCCAAGGGAACTCACATTCATTTGCACGTCAACAATTGCATCTGACACTTCAGCTCTTGAATACCAGCCTGGGTCCTCTTCCTATTAATCAACATAATGCATCAGACGATCACATTGAATTTTTGATATAAACTGAAATCTACAGCATACTACGGCATAGAAAAGTAGGCAAGTTGAAACCTCTAAAATCTTCACAAATAGGCGCATGGCTTCTGCAGGTGCCATATTGCCTAGACCACTCCAACTGGATACATGAAAAACAAAGAACAACATAAAATGCAAAAAAAAAAAAAACATTACTAAAGTGGATGGCAAATCCTAATCAGCAATATGGTCTTCCAAGTAGCAAAAACAAATGTCAGCAACAACACGAGGTATTATTATGTTTTAAAACCATGTGAAATTCAAGGATAAATACACGACCGGCTTGGATAGACCTATGGCCTCCTTAATTAAAGATGTTATTTTTTCAATGCTGCATGAATTCAAAAGTCTACAGTATAAGACATGTCTGCGACAAACCTTTTCCATTTGCTTAGCTCAACAGGACTCCAAGAACTTGGTTTCGGAATGTTACATGGTCCAACAGTAGCCTGTAACCAAAACAGATTATAACTAAAATCAAAATTGAACCCTCACCAAAGCCAAGGTAATCAACAACCAGAAAATCAAGGACAAAACATCCAAACCCAACTAAGATGCATAAATCAACCATTAGACACAGCACACTAACTCTCAAAGACCTTGCCTAATATTCACAAGCTACCCAATCTCTGCTTTCTACATATTATAATGGTTCCAACTATTATATGATATGTAATACATTAGTACATAATTATAAGTCAACGATATGTAATGTATTAGATTGACAAAAAAAATTCCTTCCGTCTGTTTCAAATTTCTCCAAAAACCTCCAATTTTGCCAACACATTTATGTTTACACTAATAATAGTGTCATCAACCGCATCTCAAAATCACTATCAGTCCCTATTGGTGCAATTCTTCAACTCGGCATTATGAAATCATCACATCGGACATCTCACTCAAATGGAAATACATTACCCCATCCTCTCCGCCTATTGCGATAACAATGTAGATATTTGCACTTAACCCTCAATCTGATACGAAACAGGTACATCCTACTCCACAGTCCACCATTCATAGGAAGTACAAGCAAGTATAATTTGCCATTTCAATAAAGAAAAGAGCGGCTTTCGATCTACGGCAAATGAACAATCCAATGCCAAACCTAAATCACTAAACAAAATCAAGATCGTAGTAAAATTCAATCATATCATCTGATCTCAACACCTAAATACACAAATTCAAAAGCTGGAATTCCAGAAACACAAATCAGATCCAACTACGGTACAATCCAATCAAATCGCACAAAATCCCAACACAATTCACAAAGCAATCAAATTACAAACAAATCCACTAAAATCAAATCAAAACAAAAACAATCACAAACAAAATTGAATAACAAAATGGAGAAAGTAAAACCTGTTGATAAAGACCATAAAGCAAAAGAGCGGCTTCATTATTGAACTTAGAAACGACGGCGTTAGAGGCGGAGGAATCAGGAGATCCGGCAAAACCGACGTAAGAAGCGGCAGCGTAGAAGCGTTCAGGGTAAGCGGGGCCAGTGCTAGCCCTCGCCATTGATGAATACTGCTGCTGCTGCTGAAGATTGCAGATCGATCGCAGTGGAGAGAGAATGTGATGGAGGAAGAAGAAGAAGTAGTGAAGGAGAAGAAATGGAAGGAAATAATAAAAATAGGAGAGAGACGAAAAAAGAGGGTGTCAGACGGGGGTGATCGTTTGGTGTTTTGGGTTCGAGGGAGAGAGGTGTTGTTCCTCTTCTTTGTAACTTGTCGGCTTACAAACAATGAGCTTTTTTTTTTTTTTTTTTTTTTTTTTTTTTTTTTTGCCTTTCAAAAAAAAAAACAATGAGCTTTTTTTTTTTGTTTGAATTCGGCGACAATAATGACGTAAACAAGATTTGATCTTAATATCGTGTATACTGTATATACGATGTAAAATATGACTTAAAATATATTGTATATAATATAAAAGTAGCTGATATATTTTAGTGGAGAATTTCTCAGCCTCTAATAACTTGATTCATTAAAGAATCTAAAAACACTTGTTGGTATAAAATTATAGTTTGATGTAACAATAAAGGATACTATTGATGATACCAAATATCAATAAAGCATTTTGTGTTTGTTGGAACTAATGTAGGAGTATATTGGTATCATATTGTTAAAGTCATTAATTAGTGATTCAACTTGATAGAGCCGAAGAATTTCTCACTATAGTGGTAAGGTTTGCATTCAAACCCCATTAGATGATTAGAGACACTTTGGAGGTGGGGATACCCTTACCCTCCCCCTCACACCCAAAGGGCCTAGCCTACAAACTTAGGGCGAGTGAACCTCTGAGACACAATTTTTAAACATATAAAGAATTAACTTATATAATAGAGATACAAATTTTTTTTTTTATATTTTTTTTAAAAACCCATCAAGAGGAGTTTATATTAATAAATTTGATGATGGCTACATCCAGAGTGCACTTCGGGATTTCATCATTCAACACTATGAGTTTATGGCAAATTTTTTACAATTGGAAATGAGCCACATGTGCAACTTTATTCTCACTACGCTTTAACAATAAATCAAGCAACACTATCAAAGTTTAAATATAAACTTGAAAATATCATCAATAATTAAATGGAAAGAGCTAGAGCCCATCAACTTAGCTTGAATCACCGTTAGGTGCTTTCCATGGTATTAAGACTATGTTTGAAAAAACATACTAGTTACTGTTAAACTAGTAGTGGGATTTTGATCCAAATCAAATGCTTAAAATTATTCATACTGGTAATTGTTAATCTAGTATAGATTGTGATTAATCATTACCTTAAGGGGGTTTTTAGTAAATGGGAATTCAGGGAGGGTGGGAATGGGACTTTTAATCCCAAATAAAAAAAAAATCTCTTGTGTGTTAAATGGGATTGGGAATAAAGAAGAAATGGGATTTGGGAATAATGGGGTGAATTCCCACCAATTTATTACTAGAGGTGGGCATGGGCCGTGTAGAGGTGGGCATGGACCGTGCTGGCTTGTGGGCGGCACGAGCACAGCACGGTGGTGGCACGGCCCGACACGAGCCCGCCAGAGGCACGGCCAAGCACGGCACGCGGTCCGCCAAGCATGACTCGTGCAAACGGCTAATTTTCGCTACTTCAAACCGCCATAAAGGGCTATATTCCAACATCCATTAACAGCTATAATTCCATATTTCTCTAACGGCTAATTCATCAATTTTCCTATAAATACTTCACTTCTTCATCCATTGTTTTCCACAATTCATCAACTCATCTATTCTCAAATCTCTTATTCTCTAATTCTTTTATTCTCTAATTCCTACTCTCTTATAATCTCTATTTTTCAAAAAAAATCATATAATCTTTAATTTTCTCAATTATAAAAATTAATTAAAAAAAAATTTATAAGTTCGGAAAATTAATTAGTGGAAAGCAATCGAAACGTTGTTGTAAGATCTAACTCATCTTTGTTGTTGTTATTACTAATTTATATATTATTATTATTATTATTATTATTATTGTTATTATTAATTATAATTATTGTTATTATTAGTTATAATTATTGTTATACTTATTGTTAGAATTTTGTTATTGTCACTATTATTATTGTTACTATTGTTGTTATTATTATTGTTATTGTTATTATTATTTGTATTATTATTATTTATTATTGTTATTATTATTTGTATTATTATAATTGTTGATATTATTATTGTTATTATTATTAATCATGGCATTAAACCCGAACCCTTCTTTATCCTCTAAGAAAGCCAAGTCAAAACGTACTAGTACTAGTAAGGAATCACCAAATCCAAACACTTCAATGCCCCCCCTAACATGCCCAATCCGAACACTTCCACCCCCTTCTTCCATCCCCAAACCATGGGAGGATTCGAACAGTTTGACAATATGTCTCCTTGGAATATGTCTAGTTCGGGATTTCAACTAAACCAATTCTCACCTCATTTATACGGCTCACACACATGAATTTTCTTATCAAACTACCCAAGGTAGCCAATCAAATGACAACGGGTCAAGTGAACAGTCTACCCAAATTCCAAACACATTAGAATGGTGTACCGAAGAGAAACTTGCCAATGCCAACAGAAAGAGTAATGTTTGGGGATATTTTCAATTAAGTAGAGATGGAACCAAAGCCAAGTGTAAGACATGTAACAAAATTTACTCGACCGAAACCAAGGGAGGGACGGGACACCTTAGTAGACATGTAAAAAAATGTGGTGGTCCATCTAGTGATCCAACTCAACCCAAAATTTCTCAATTCCATCCACATGGCTTCACTTACAATTATGAGAGAGATAGAGATGAACTTGGGAGAATGTTAGTACATGCCGAACAACCTTTTGTTTTTGTCGAAAATGATCCCTTTAACAATTACATTAACCGAGCACTACAACCCCAACACAAAAAAAATCTCTAGAAAAACTGTCCTTTCGGCTGCCATGAAATCTTTTCTAGAGTACAAATTGAAGTTATATGATGAATTAAGTAATCTTACTTGTAGAGTTTCTTTGACTGCTGACGCATGGGATAGTGGTTACGGATATCACTATTTGTGTGTGACTTGTCATTGGTTGAATACTGATTGGTTATTACAAAAATGCATTAACCATTTTGAAATGCTTGAATACCCCAACACCGGTCTTAATATTATTTAATGCAAGCTATTGATGCATATAATCTTGGCCCAAAATCATGTATATGACTTTTGATAATGCAACTTCTATGAAATTTAGTGCAAATTTAGTTAAAGCACAATTGACCGATGTAATATTAGATGGAGATGCACTTCATATTAGATGCATTTGTCATGTTCTTAACTTGTGTGTGAATGATGGAACACAAGCAATTGGTCCATTTTATCACAAAATTAGAAATGCTATTATGTCTATTAACAACTCTAACATGAGATTTCAGGAATGGAAAGCTTTTTGTAGGCAACAAAGGATAAAGGCTATTAAAATATCAACGGATTGTGCAACTAGGTGGAACTCTACCTATGAAATGTTGAGTAGGGAAATCGAGTACAAGGCTCCATTAACAATTTTTTATAATAAAAAATTTCCACAATTTGCTTTACTAGATGATGATTGGTCTCATTGTGAAAAATATATGCAGTTTTTACAATTATTATATAGTATGACAGATTGTTTTTCAATCTTTGTGCTCATTCTTTTCTTAGCAATGCATGTTTACTTGCACAACTTTTCGATGAACACCGATTACAACACGATTATGATGGATATCTTTCATCAATGGAGGAAAAATGGCGTAAATATTACACTACTATTCCTATGATTTATATTTTTGCTTCTATATTAGATCCAAGGCAAAAGTATGATGACACATTTTTATTAATTGATATTTATTTTCAATGCATGAATTTTGAAGATGATGTTGAATCTTATAAAACTAATGTGACCAATCAAATTTTTTGCCTTATATAGAGTTTATGAATCTAAATATGGAACTGTGACTCAATTTGCTCCTTCTCAATCATCCAAAAATGTAAGTAAAAGGGTTAAAGGTTTATTTGCACAAGCTGCTAACATGATGTCTAAGTTTTCAGGTAGTGAATCATCATCTAGGAGAACACAAAGCGATGTTTCGGCGTTGCAAATGTACTTAAGTTACGACTTCATGAAAGACATGGATGACGAAGAGAAGTACGACCTCGACATCCTTGATTGGTGGAAAGCACAAAGCACGAAACATCCAATTTTGGCGGCAATGACTCGTGATATTTTTGTTATTCAAGTCTCCTCCGTTGCCTCCGAAAGAGCTTTTAGTGCGTCTGGAAGGGTTTTAGACGATAGAAGAACAAGACTAAAACCCGAAACACCAATTAAAATGTGTGTTTGTTTCAAGGATTGGTTGCACTAGTAAAAAAACATAAATGCACCGCAAAATGCACACCGGTTTTTAAAAACCGGTGCCAAAAAAAATAGGCGGGATTGAGGGAAAGAGTAATCGCACCGGTGATGAGTTTATTTTATATATATTTTTATTCCCCGCCCCACGGTCATATTTGTGCTTATTTGAGCTATGCGGAGCTATTTTAATTACTAATATACGCTTTCTAGTGTTTTTGTAGAGTTGATATTATTTTGTAGGAATTTGCAAAATTATAATCCCGAGCTTATTGAGCCACTACAAAAATATTAGAGTCGGATCGTATTTTATGAACGAGTATTTAAAGCTCAAGACCGTACTAAATAAATTTAGTTCAGTGATTAAGAGTTTGATACGTGAGAAGGTCCAAGATTTTACAAGTTATATATTATTATGGACCAAGCAATAAGGCCACGGATTACAAGATAAAGGTTAAGTTATTGGCGGCCCAAGTGGAAAAGACCCGAAATCAAAAGTCAGCTGGGCGTGAATTAGCCGGCCCGATCGGGCGAGTATGCTGCAAGTATAGTTAAGTCGGTCTTCAAATGTTGGCAGAATGATGAGATAGTAGGAGCAAAAATTATCTTCTTGTATTAGCTTTTAGGATAGGTTTTGTCAGTTTTTGATTGTTTTATAATACTTTTAGTTTGAGTGGGATTGGGTGGATTTGACTTTTCTTATATAAGGGAGGTAGTAGTAGTTTTACGGGAGTTAGTCATTAGATTAGTTTTAGTTTGTTAATTTTCTTTTAGTTTCTTCTTCCATTCTCCTCTCCTCTCTCCTCAAACCGTGAGTTTTTTTTCCCTTTTTCTTTTCAATATTCTTAGTTTTCCTTCGTAAATTTTGATGGATCTTAATTTAATTTAGTTGCTTGTTATGTTTGATGTGTTTAGGTAGTTTAGAACCCGATCCCGTTGGCCCGTACTCCGCTGAAATCGAACCCGAGCTTCCCTCACAATCAAGAGTAAGAATGATCGCAAGTCATAGAGGA